TTTTTTTAAAATAAATATTAATTTCGGTTATTAAATTATATATATCTAAAGAAATGTATTTTCAATAATAGATAAATCAATAAGTAATAGTCTAAAAATATTGTAAAAAAAAATATTTATGCACAAATAATTATAATAAAAACAAATTTCAACAATATACAGTTTACTCAGGCTATAATAAACTTGATTGTTAATGAATCTTTTTATAACGAACCTTGATTGTTAATGAACCGTTTATAACAGACTTTAATTATTAATGAATTCCAAATGTTTATAACAGTTTGATATAAAAGGGATAAGAAACCAGTAATGAACTGAAATTCGATTTACGTAATACTGACTTTAGAATCTAGATCAACTTGATGATCCAGAAGATCCTGATGGTTTATGGCGCTAGAAACTCCGATAATCCGGAGTTTCGAAGGTAATGAATAAGTTGCAGCAGAAAAAGGAACTCGCCATATGACAGTGGATCAATTACAATCAATAACTAGTTTTTATTTATTAAAAATGAACACCAAATATTAAGAGCCGTATGAATGACATTTTTTTGATAAATTCTATTGTTGTGCACACGTATATTTAATATTGTTTGTTTTGTGTCATCTTCATTGCCTCCCAACGGTAACACCCAAGTCTTTCAAGTGCCCATTTTGCAAATTAAACACCCACCCGTGAATTGCCAACTTTCTCTTTTCGTCTTCCCATGCCTTTTTAACTATGTCATTTGTTGAAAGCTTTTTCACCTGGTCCGCCACATTAACCTCTACCAAAATCTCCTGAATTCTGTCTATCTCATCGTGGCTCATGCGTGACAAGGTTTCTTGATCAGGAAATAGTTCAGGATGTACATCCTTGATCTTACGGATATCGGACAGCCAGGCGACCAGGTTCTTTCCGAGATCATCTCTGCAAGCATTTTTGACCCCCGCGCATTTCGTATGACCTTATTTCGTGAATTCAATGATAAGAAAATATATTCGTGAAAGTTAAGTGTGGGAGAAAGGTGACACGTTACCGCAGACCACGATATGCTCGACCTTAATATGGTTGACGGTAAATTCCAATTCCGACATACTATTTACGTCATCGGTTTTAAATTGATTCGCAATGTTTCTGTGCACGAATACTTGCCCAAATCCCAATTGAGAAATTAGTTCTGGTGGCACCCTTGAATCCGAGCAACCTGCACAATAATTTTGATTAGACATGTAACAAATTTCGTCATTCTCCAAAGAAGGCAATTAATGAAACAATTACCAATCCAATACAACTTTGGCTCATTTTCCAATTTATCAAAAAATCTCATTTCCTTTAATTGACTGGTGTCCGCCCATCTTTTGTTATTGTTCAGCACATCTTGTAATCCATTCTCAAGCTTCCCAAATGATCTCATAAGATCTGGGAGGTACGCCCTAATTTCATATGGATTATCATCAGCATGATCCTTCTCGGTTTTTACTGGAGGTT